TCTCAGAAATTAGAAATAGAGCACAAAAACTTTCCCATCCTCTCACAGACAAGTGCAGAGTGAGTGTGAGGATCCCCTTTCCCCCTCATACTATAATATACCAGAAGATATGCTGTTTCCAGAAATGGACCAGAGCACTCACAGGGCCTGGCACAACTTGCACGAGTCTTGAGCCAAGCATATCTGTTTGAGTTGCCCCTGACTTGAGTTAGCAGCAATGGTTGAGGCCAACCATTGCCTCAAATCCTGTGTGCATGGTACCTGTCAGGGTGCACATCTGCTCTGTGAGCACAGATCAGCTCTGAGGAACACAGACAGTCACCCTGGAAACCTAGAGTTGCCAGCAGCTATGGCTAGGAATGGTGAGGGGGAGTGAGAGGATGCCTTGATGATCTGCTCGTTGTGCTTGGAGGAAGGAAGAGGAGTCCCAAACACAACTTTCCCCATTTCTTCTACTCCCCCTCAAATGTTCTACTGTAACAAAGTGGTACATTGGGACGCCACAGGGCAGTCCTTGGAAGTCTCAGTGAAGGAGGATAGGAAGGCTGGGGGAGGGGCATAGAGTTTGCTCATAGCCGTAGGAAGCCACCCCGGCCCTCCCTGCTCTGTGTGGACTGAGGGGGACTCCTTGTTGCTGACGTTAAGGAACTGAACCAAAATCTATATCCAGACATTGGATCTGCCCAAAGTAGGGCCTGCAGAGACTTCTCTTCATGAACAGCGTGCAGGTGAATGGTCAGCAATTAACAGCCATCTCTGTAGCATGTCTTCGAGAATCTTGAAGAGATATTCAGAATCTTATTTTTTCCTGCTTCCCTAATACTTCTCCTTCCCTAATACTTCTCCTTCTCCCCAGTAGCCTCCTTGGGGGGCTTTCAAGAATTGCACTTTGTTTATTGTGGTGACTGTATTTGGAGCAAATTGTCACTGTGGTTTCCACAAAACACTTTGATAATGGCCCAGTATTGCACATCAGGCCTTTCCTAGCTGCCAGTAGCCATTCTGGAAACAGGTAGAGAAATCATCACAGCTCTGAGCAACGTCTTTCTCTGAAACATCACAACACTTGTTATATATATTCAAAATAAGAGCTACATGTGTGGAGAGAATGAATGCCAGCAAAAGATTCCCCCAGCTCCCCCTGCTATCTTAAAACAAAAGAAGCAGTGTGGATGGAGTCCCATGGGGTTTTCAGAGGCAATGAGACATCGGTGTTCAACTGAGTTAGAAAAGGAGAAGCATGGCTCATTCTAGAGCTTGGCCCTGTAGTCCTGCGTAGGTTGGTCAGACAGGGCCTGAATGCGGTGATAATAAATAAGCTGTTTCTACTATGGGGCTTCTAGAGAAAACGAATGTGTTGGCAGAAGCCACAGAACGTCCTCTGAGAGCAAGCTTCACTTCATATATGCTCACCACCCTAAACCTCATGTGCCAGTGACCTTCTCCTGAGGTCTCAGCATTGGAGGGAATCCTCGAAGGCTGCGATCACTCTTTGCGACCAGCCTCACCATGTTGTCTCTTCCCCTTTCCCCAGGAACACTCCATCCCCGGTGTCTCTCAACAACGTCTCTCCCATTAACGCAATGGGCAGCTGTAACAACGGCCCGGTCACCATCCCTCAGCGCATTCACCACATGGCCGCCAGCCATGTCAACATCACCAGCAATGTGTTACGGGGCTACGAACACTGGGACATGGCCGACAAACTGACAAGAGAGAACAAAGGTATGCTTACCCCCTCCGCCCACGCTCATTGGCCGTAGTAGGGTTAACGGTGCATAGAGGCACTTGAGTTTTCCATGGTGCCTTATCTTCCCGTCTCTCTGATTTCCAGGGTGTAGAGGAAAGAGAGGTTAACTCAGGGAGGACACAGTAACCAATTTTTTTTTTTTTTGCTGAGAGAGTGAACAAAGCCTGGGATTTTATTTTTTTCTCCTTCAAAGCTTAAACTAATCTGAGCTGTGAATATTGGCAAATGACCATTTCAGATTTGCCATCCATGGTAAGGATGGGCACCGAGAAACAGAGGTGAAGGAAAAAAAGAATCATTTGCAAATTAATTAAGATCCCGTTGGCCTCTGTGTGTCAACTTTAATTTTGGGGCTTTTTGTTTTGTTTTGTTTTTTGGGGTTTTTTTTCTTTTTCTGGAGAGTTGAGGTTGAACTGAGGGCCTACTACTTTCATTACAACTGTCGGCTCCAATGAGCACACGGTAATACAGCTTGTGTTCAGAAGCAAAGGCCAAAGCTCAGCAGATATTTTTCACACACTGACAGCTGGGATGAAGGATCAGGGTCCTGTTCGTGGTAACATATGGGGTTTGCTACAGAACCAATGCAGGGAGGACCCTGCTTCATCAGAGAGTGAGTCAGTGGTCTCTGGCAACTCCTGCCTCCATCTTGTGACCGTGGCTATTTCCTGGGTTCACAGAGAAGCCTCACTATGCTCATGAAGGAGGGATGCATGAACAGACTACACTCTTGCCCTGGCCATTCATTCGGCTTGGCTGATTCTGGCAAAGAGGGGCCCAGCAGTTTAGAGGAGCAGAACTGTCTGGCCAGGACAGGGATAGATGAGGCAGCAAATGATAGGGCAAATAGTACAGTATCTGCATGCAGAAATTGTGGCCTGATTTCTTCCCAGTTACCAGTGTAACTGATATGTGCAAATAACCCCAGGGGTCAGGGTAAGTTTATAGCCAGGCTGTGGGTTGAAGTCTCAGGTGATGGAATGTGCTCTGATAGCCACAGAATCCTGGAGTCATATAGATATGTAATATGGAGTAAGAAAATAAATATTTGCTGGTAACTGGGAAGGGTGCTGATTTTGAAGCCTGATCATTTAAGTTGGAGTGCTGGGCAACCTCAAGAAAATTACTTAAATCTCTGAGCCGCTTCCTAGCTTCCATTTCTGTAATGGATATAGTAATGTATGTTGCCTCATTTGTCTCTGTTTTGTAGATACGTGAGGTGAGATTAAGAAACTCACCTCCGACATCACAGCTCTTAACGCTAGAAGCAGGAATTGACTCTAGAACTCTAAACCACTAGCTACACTGCCCATTTAGAGAGCGAGATTCATAAGAGGTCCTGAGAGAACTTCACTGAGCTCCTGCCCTCAGTTACCTGAGTGATGGGCAATTCTTCACTTCTCTACTTCTCTAAGCTTCTGAAAATCCAAGGACAACTGGCCCAGATGGCCAGGTCCATCCAAAAGTTCTAGAATTGCAAGTGAAAGGATAAGCATCTTAAGACTTGCCTAGCTTGTGGGCCTCCACTCTTCTCTTTTATTTTGTATTGGTAACTGGAGGGCAGTTCAATATTTATGGATTTCCATCATAATTGCATCCATTTGCAGAATCTGTTAAGGTAATTCCTTCAAAATTAACCACAGAACTTTCCAGGAGCCATGTGCTGGCTGTGCTGATATCCAAGGGAAAAGGAGCTAATCTTATCTTCAGCACAGTGTGTCAGGAGTTGTTAAGTTCCCCACCTAATAATCAGAACAGCTCTGCAGTCTGCTTAGAGTCAGAGAGACTTCCCCATCTGTCTGGTCCACCTAGAGCTGGGAAGTGCAGAGCTTCCCTCTTGACTGGGGACAACCATGTTCTTGCACTCCCCCACCCTGCTCCATACCTGCACACCCGTGCAGCTTCAGGCAGAGGACTCTGGTCCTAAACTCAGCCAATGAGGGTAACGCTGCCCCCTGGCCTTTCGTCTAGAAGCCTTATCCCCTACCTCCCCAGCTTCTTACTCAAAGCTGCTCTTTAGAAGTGTGATCTGGGGATGCCTGGGTGGCTCAGTCATTAGGCGTTGGCCTTCAGCTCAGGTCATGATTCCAGGGACCTGGGATTGAGCCCCACATGAGACTCCCTGCTCAGTGAAGAGCCTGCTTCTCCCCCTGCCTCTCCTTCCCCCCCTGCCTCTCCTTCCTGCTTATGATTTCTCCCTCTTTCTCTTATGCTCTCTCTTTCAAATACATTAATAAAATCTTTAGACAAACAAAAATTAAATAAAAAATGTTTAAAATTTAAATACTTTTTAAAAAATGGCAACCTGGATCTCTAGTTAGGAATGACACATCAGGTTGTGCACAAAACACCCAGGGCGGGCCTCCTGGCTCACGGGCGGCTCACGTTCATTCAGCAGCACCGAGGTCCTTTAGCATTCCCCTTAATATTGGGTCACATAAGAAACTATTTCAGGTGCCCCAAATAATTTACTCCTTTATCAGCAGAAATTACTTTTATTGCATAGTATAGGTTTAAAAGTATCACATAATCAAATGAAGTCAATACCTAGAGAAGGAGCCCGTATGTTATACACTGTTTCAGGCAATACCATCTGCGGGTCAGTCAAGCACACGGAACATCCCAGCCCCTTTAAGGTAGACTTCAGTACACACCGTCCCCACTGCTGCCAGGTTCCTCATCGCCAACTGGAACAGACGGGATGTCCTCACAGTTCGGGCTCCCTCCTCTGTTGGGAGCTGACAAAGAGGACGCCCAAGAGCCCTCCCATAACCAAGATCAATGCAATGGTGGACAAATAAATGCAGATATGAAAAGGGGATGCCTAGATACTTTTCTAGACATCACATAGTCTTTTCCACATACCCCGTCCCCAATCCAAAGCAGACTGTCCCAAACCCCAGCTCCAGTGGTCAGCAGTGTGGCCTCAGCACTGCCCCTTCTCCAAATCAGCTAGAGGGGAATCAGCCTGGGTAGCATTTTCATCCATGTCCTTCGCAGCGCGGAGGGAGCTGTTCACGACAGATATTTGCAGGTCATTTCCCTTCCCTAAAGGAATTGGTAATAAGACTTACTGAGTCAGATGTCTTCTAGATGTTTATTTAGCGTTAGCTGCTGATGGCTGTAGTTGCTGTCCAGGTTCACTGGCTATATCTGCAACATGCCAAGAAAAATCCGTAAACTCAGTTCATTTAGACAAATGGAAAAGAGAATACTTTCAATTCAGTAACACATGGAATGGCAAACGGCCTAATGTCCTATTGACCATGGCTCCCTACCATTTTGTGTATCTGAAAGTCTTTCTAAATATTAATTTATAATATTTAAAAATACAAATTCTCTAATGTTAAAATATATTTAAATACATTTTATTTTAGGTATGTAATTTATGTGTATATTTTAAAATATATGTGTTATATATCTTTATTATATGAACATAGACAATACATTTTTATATATAATGTTGTGATGTGTGTGTGCATGCATGCACACACAGAACTCACAAACCTCCACAGGATTATAATGTACTTATAGAATCCACTCTTGCAAAGAATATATAGCGATTTGCAAAAACTTACTATGAATCAACAGATTTACATTGATTTGTGGTTTATGAATCACAGTAACACAAGCATTACTTATGCTGCAGAATTTTTGGATCTACGTAAAGATTAAAATAATCATGCCTCCTATACATATGGAGATTTGGTCCCCTAGCACCTGGTCTATAAGTTTTTGTGGAATGAGTGAATAAACAATGAAAATTTTCCCAATGTCCACATGGTTGTGTTATCACGTGAAGGCAGCTGAAGCAATCTGGCATGGATTTCTGTGATGATATTCAAAGGCCCGACCAAGGTCTGCTCTGATTTTCAGAATTCTTCGGCGATCTGGACACACTGATGGGGCCCCTGACCCAGCACAGCAGCATGACCAACCTCGTTCGCTACGTTCGCCAGGGACTGTGTTGGCTGCGCATCGATGCCCATTTGTTGTAGTGGGGGCCCCCATCTCCAGCACCACCACCCATCACTCTACCTCTACCAGAGCACCAATGGTCACTGGTGGAACTCCACTCACTTGGGAAAGTTCTCTTTGCTTATGTTTGTTTTTACGCTTCTTTTGATATCTGTGAAAAACAGAAGTCATTGTAAGTGGACACTACAACTTGAGAGCAGTTTGTTTTATTACTTAGTCATTTTTCAGTATTTTATATGCATTTCTCAGATCCCACCATCCTTTTGTGCTTGATACAATGATACAGTCCCTACAGTATTGTTTTAAGCCCACACTACCCAAAACAAAAAATGGGAAGTACTTGTGATGATAACATTTTCCTGAGAAATGAAATGTCTTACATATATATATATATATATATATATATATATATATATATATATATTTAGACTCAAAGGACCTACAAAGATTCAAATTTTCCACAAAAGCTATTCCCCAGACTGTACTCTTATGTCCAGAAAAAAAAACGTATTTCAGAATCCATTGTTAAAATTTTGTGGTTCCCACAGACTCAGTCTCCAGGTGAGAATTTTCATTGTCAACCCACTGGTTAGATGTTGTAGCCACATCATAAAATCAAGAGTATTAAGAAAATAAACAAGCATAGCAATGCCACTCTCAAACCAATACTACATACAACCAGAAGTCTTTCTTGCTGGCATCCCTTCCCTGATGCCCTATTTTTAAAATGTTAATGAGATGAAGTGGCAACATTTATTTTGACAACTTTAAGGCATCAGCTGGCATTAAATATTTTTGAACTCCCTGATCTGAAGCATAAATCCTCACCTGGGATTCTCTTTGTGTAAAACTCTCCTTCTGAGGGGCAGTTAAATGGGTGTACACCCTAGGAGCCAAAATACTGCACTCCAGTTTTAGAGATGAGAGATTAGAAGTCTGGAAATGTCCAAGGAACTCATACCTCTGCCTCTTTTGCAGCTGGTAGGCAGGTCCATTGCTGGAAGGATATTTTTATTGTATTTTGCTCAAATCTCAGAAAACAAATTCAAGTTATCACTACCTAGTAGTTAAAATATACAGTTTACTTCTAATTATAATCCACATTTCCACATTTTCTAGTTCACAGTGTTTCTCCTCCTCCTCCTCCCCCTCCTCCTTCTCCTACTACTACCCTTCTTCTTCTTCTTCTTCTTCTTCTTCTTCTTCTTCTTCTTCTTCCTCCTCCTCCTCCTCCTCCTCCTCCTCCTCCTCCTCCCCCCCCATCCTCCTCCCCCTCCTCTTCCTCCCCTTCTTCTTCTTTCTCCTTCTCCCCCATCCTCCTCCCCTCCTCTTCCCTTCTTCTTCTTCTTCTTCTTCTTCCTCTTCTTCTTCTTCTTATTATTATTATCATTATCATTATTATTATTATCATCCTCCTACTTCCTCTCTTCTTCTTCTTCTTTCTTTTTCTTCTTCTTCTTCTTCTTCTTCTTCTTCTTCTTCTTCTTCTTCTTCTCCTCCTCCTCCTCCTCCTCCTCCTCCTCCTCTTCCTCCTCCTTCCCCTTCCCCTTCCCCTTCTCCTCCTCCTCCTCCTCTTCCTCCTTCTTCTTCTTCTCCTCTTTCTTCTTCTTCTTTCTCTTTTCTTTGATCTTTCTTTGTCTTTTTGGGGGCTCATTAACTTTTGACAAATACTGAAATCAGTGATGTTATTCCAGTCTATATTAGCATGAATCATTTCCATGAACTTTCCAGAGAAAACCCCAACCTCTCTAAGTAGTGGTTATCCCTTTAACTAAAAATAATTCTTGAGGTAACACTTCACTCTAGGGTGATTTGAAAGAGCCCTGAAGTTTGGGAACAGCTCACCTAATTCGGAGATATTTCCACATCATTTGTAACTATCCTCACCCTTTTTGATCCTCCACATTCATTTTATGTCCCCAAACATCACCATGTAAATATCATCTTTGGTGTTCCATCTCACCAGAAGAATCCCCCACCTGTAGTCAACACTTGTCATACGTTAGTTCTTTAAGATTACCTGCTGGTATATGATTCCATGTCACCTTGATTCTGTTGAGTTTATTGAATTCTGTTCACTGAGTGATGACCAGACAAATAATAGACATATGCACATGAAAGGTGCAAACTTGTGTGATTCTCAAACCAGTCATGCAAGTCTGTGATAGGAACAGCAAGGGATCACCCTGCACTCTCATCGTTGAGGTTAGATACATTCCCAGTTGCAAAAGTGCCAGACTCGAGCTCTGCTCTGGTCATCTTTGAGTTCAAGACCCTTTATTTTATAATGAAGTTGTGGAAGTTGTACTCCAATGGCTGAGGCCATGTGGTCAGGAGACACAGCAGCTGAACCTAGCACTCTCTATGCTCCCGGTGTGGTTGAGCTTTATATTTTCAGTCTTTGCAACAACACACACACACACATGCAGATGTGCACACAGACAAATGAAACTGGAGAGAATCTTCTCTGAGCCTCTTAAAGGGGGAAAATGGTAATATGAAAGACTCCAAACACCTAAGGTGTGTGTCACATATAAAAATTAAGCTGATGGCTTTGTAGTGACTCAAGTTCTCTCTTCACTTTTCCATGGCTTAGCAGGTAGAGCACCTAACTATTACTGCATAATGAAGCCCACTGGCTTGACTTGTAAATTCAATCTAAACCATGATCCTAGACCATCACGGATTTAGGGGTAGATTCTTGAAATTCAGTCTCCAGAAACTAGACACTTGAATGTTAGGGGCAGTTTCCAAAAGAAACCAGCATCTTGCCTCGTGGATGAAAGGCCCATAGCTCTAGTTTCAGCGAGTCCTTTTATCTACTTTACATACAACAGGGAGGCAGCAGAGAATCCTGCTGCCTGATGTCACCTCCAGTGGCTGACCATACAGCGTGTGCCAAATCAGCAGCACGATGATCACATCTGACAGTTGAATCCAGGATCATCAGCTGATTATTTAGCAGACTCATTTGTAAAGCAGCTTAGAGGCCAATAAAACACGGAGGAGGAATGGCCTTCCTATCCCCGGAGATGAGACAGTCTTTGGTTTCACGCTTAAGGATTGTTGCTGTTTTCTAGGCACTGTATCCATCACATTGTGGATGGTGATGTGTGTCATAGGTGTGTGCCTATGTGAGGGATGGAGATATTTTGCCAAGTAAATCTCTTCAGTGTACCAGTTTGTGGGAGGGATGTAGGATGTGTGGATGGCAGTGAGAGATCCTGCCTGGAGACCTTGACGGAGGCTTGGTGAGACACATCTCAATGAGCACACAGAGATAGGGGAATGGACAGAGTAATGGGAAGCTCCACCTGAGCAAGTACACAGAAGGATGGCAGCCACCACTATGCCTTCCTTTGTCACCCAAGCTCCAAACACAGAGAGTTTGACAAGTTCGTGTTAGGATGTTGGCTGGGCTTTGTATTTTTAATTAACTTTGGATTTTTTAGTGGTTTTGTCATATTACTGTCTGAGTTTGGTAGGTAGAATTAATTTGAAAAGAGTATACTAGTGTGGTCCTCAGGGTAGAATTTAGCCGTAAGCATGTTGTTAGCCAGCCTGTAGACTGTTAATTACTTAATAATCTCATTGGGAAAATACTTGTAGTTTTATATTTGGATGACATAATTGGGAAAGCAGATTAGCTGCTGCTAACTTTTAAAAGACTTGAGGTTGACATAAAAAATTTCAAATCTTCAGTCAATAACCAAGTTGCTAAATTGGAAACCATTGGCTAAAATGTGTTTTGTTGAGTTTCCAAATGTACGGATTTGCATTTGGACATTGCGCCACTAAATGCATTGGAAAGATACTTGCTCTGTCATATCTTTCCCAAAGCTGTCTGATTTGGAGTTCATTTTATTCAAATTTGCATCCTGGAGGTTGAAGTTGGAGTATGAAGTTGGAAAGCTTTTTTGAAGGCAGAATCAATTGAGCTGTGAGGGCTCCCCCCTCACATACTTCTCATCAGACATGATAACATTCACCTGCGTGAGCTGGCAGGTGCAAGAACCAAACTGGATCACTGGGTAGGACTACTCAGTTAAGGCAAATGAACTCTTGCTTAGAGAAGCATCACTATCCCCATTGAGAAACTGTGTGGCGAGACAGTGTAGCTACACAATATCAAATGAATGGGTTGATTAAGTGCCCCCCAAATCAATTCTGTGGGGGTCAGCTGTTGAGCCAGTTGTCACTGCTCGGTTATGCAACTGGCAAACTAAACTCCTCTTCGTTGTTATGGTTGTTGTTGTTGTTGCTATTGTTGTTGTTGTTGCCGTTGTTTGTCATTTCCACCCGCACAGCCTTATTCCCATAATTAAACCCTGATTCATTTTCTCTTTGGTGTTAGCAAACTCCAACAGCAGAGATGGCATCTGTGTATTGATAACTGGCATTTACCCTGGCAGGAGGCTAATCGGATAGGCTGGTCTCAGACGTTAATCTTACCATCTGATATTTTCAGTGAAAAAGAAAGTAATTCCCTTTCCATTCTCCTCCTTGCAAATCTAGAAGCCCTCTTTACCAAGAGCATCACATTTTCCTCTGTAATCCATTGACTCAAAGAAAATTGCATTGTGGGGAGGGCGGAGGGGTATGGGGTGGTGGGGGGGGGGGAGGGTAGGGAAGTCCTTCCAGGCCAGGCTGCAGTTCTTGTCCCTTTCTGCTTCTGACATGAGATGTTAATGAATCATTCATCAGGCTCACATTGGGTTAGGGGACACCGAACTGCTTTTCCAATCCATGATCAATCATCGTTCTTCTAAGAGATTGGAGCTTTGCTGTTTCATTAACTGTGCAGTGTAGACTAATGGTGTTTAATAAAAATCATTCAAAATTTCAAACTCTTTGCCAGTGACCTTTTTGCTTTGTCTTAGACTTTGAGGAGGGAAGGGGGATGCAAAGGAAGCCTGCTCTCAGGCGCCTGGCAGCATGCTGCGGTGGCAAACCCAGTGGCTGCCAGCACTTGCTGGTGAGTGGTGGCAGCGTGCGGAATGCCACAGTGGATGCTTCCAGCCGGGGGTAGCTTATTTTTACTGAGGGACTCATTGTTCTCCAACCTGTGCAGCAGGAAGCCAGCTGCCATATTCAGAGTTTAATAAGAATTATAAATGCTTTACCGACTTGGTTTTGGCCCACACCCCTCACGGGGCTACCAAATAGGAGAAGTATCTCTAAGAGGAGAACCCGGGAGTGACAGCGGTAGCCCGATACACTCCAGGTGCTTCGGCCTTCTGTGAACTCGGAGGCGGAGGACCTCCAGGCAGGAGGCAGAATTGAAGAGACTCCCAAATAGGCTGAGTTGGTGCTGCATTGCCCAGATTGAGCTTCTCCTTTGGTCAGTCTGGCATGCAACCAATGGGGTACTGGTAAAATGTTTAATA